TTGTTTCATATTCCATAGGTTCATGTTTAGGTACTAAAAATAAGATATTGAATTAGTAAAAACAAAGATTAGAGTGAAATTTATTTTTACTAGCAATATGATTCGTATTATTGGTATAGGATGAATGTGAATTATTATCGTTTCCATTTGGTATTTGAGAAAAATTTCCAGTTGATGCTGATGATTGAATTGTATTTGAATGAGAGGATGATGACGGATGATTATGAGAATAATGTGATTGAGCTGTTGCTGGTGAATGTGAACGTCCTGTTAGCGTTGCATTAAATGGTCTCAAAGATGATGATGATGATCCATATTCTGATGCTGATGAATTAGGATAATTAACTCCACCATTTGTTGATGATGAGTCTATATTCGAACGATCAGATAATGTTGTATTTATGGATTGTGGTGATGTATTTGTTGGGTGAGGCATCGGTGATCGATCTTTATCATTATTATTCGATGAAAGAGTAGTAGTCCGAGATGAAGATTTCGGTTCGATTTTTCCCGATGGTCCTGTTGATGATGATGATGTCGATTGTTGTTGTTGCTGTTGCTGCTGTTGTTGTTGTAGTTGCTGAAGTTCTTTACGACGATTTTCAACGAAATCTGGTACGACTGCATCGATTAAACTTAGACTATCACATGTTCGTTCTTGTCCATCCTAGATACAAAAACAAATAAATTTTTGTTTTTTTCAATGGAGCGCCGATTAATTAAATCAACTGCTCCGATTTTCAAAGATTATGCGTCCGAAATGTCTCGATAACCATTCCGCACGGTGTTTTCAAAAGAAAACAAAATAACCGTGTGTTATTTATTAGCCAAATAAGAAAAAACAGACGCCCTTTTTTGAGTAAAATTCAATCATAAAATTCTCTTTTAAATTCTTCTATCATACAAAATAAAATAGGTGAATTGAAAAATAATACTAAATATAGAATCGTACGACATCTGTTCAAACTTACATCACCAATAGATAATTCAGCTTCAGTATAATAAAGACCCTTCTGTATAAGTGAGAGAAGAGCACCTGGTGGTACACTATTGCCATTAATTGATGTATGAGCAATATGACTTTCAAGACCAAATAAATAAGCTGAATGAACAAAGCCTAAAGAAAAGTAAAAAACCATGTTATTTTCTTTTTTTTTTCTATTATATTTTTGTCATTGTTATTTGTCTGTCGTCTATCGACATATTTGATGTTATGAAAGAAAAGAATGTGAAGTACGCTGCTTTATTCTGAAGCAAACATCAATGTGTACTCTAGCGCAGGTTTCGTTCTCTTGTTATTGATTTGTCGTTTTAACAAAATGTTTGTCAACACATATGGAATATATTTATGCACATATCCTGTTATTAGACTGTCGTACTATGTAAAATAGTATTGTCAAGAGCGTTACTTGTTCCCTGTACGACCTCAATGTCATTTCTATTTTTCTTTTTTTTT